TCATCTGATGCAACAAAAATAAACTTGGAAGTCAGAAGGACAACACCAAAAACAAACGAATACAAGAAAGAACCAACAACCAGGAAATACAGGCAATAGGTACATTTTTAACATCTACACTGTCATTCCAATTAGAAATACAAATTCTAAGGATCTGAAGTAGAATAAAAACATTTCCTACCTAATTAAAATATAAACCAAGTAATGTTACAGCGGGGCTGTCCAACTGGCAGCCCACAGGCCACATGCAGACTGGAGGCTCCCACCAGGGAACCACTCCCTCCTGCATTGCTCCAGCTACTACAATGGTCAGGATCTCCAGGCTTCCCCCTTCCTCCTCAAGCTTCTGCTTCCTGCCTCCACTCCTGCAGGTGAGGCGGTGCGGTGGGTGTAGGTCTGTGCTGCCAGTGCTCCCCCTGCACCCAGCTGTGCAGGTGGCAGAGGAAGGGGGTTAGGCTGCACGCACTGCTGGGAAAGTAGCCAGACTACCTACAGGGCAGGTGGGACCCTGGAAGGGCCACCCTTGTGGTGTACAGCCTACTTTGAGTGCAACCTGGAAGTCTGCAGCACATGGCCTCCTGGTGCCCAGAAGTTGAACAGCCCTGATGTACAGAGATCATGGAAAAATCCCACAAAAACCTACTGCTATTGCAAGAGTCACAAAATAACCCGTTATACAGTCATGCTTGGTCTTTTTCTGTGTGTGAACAGAGCTACTGTCTTTTGAAGTTCTGACTGTCCAGAGTTGTGACATGTTTCTTGGGATTGGGGTTTGCTCTATGTCTCAAATCTTTTTCTTGACTCAACATTTGGGAGAGAGCGCTGCTCTCTGGAAACCACACACTGGTGAGTGAAGAAGAGGTTGCTTACATGCTGTTTGCGACCACCCTCACCTGCTATTGTTCAGCAGAGTGGGAGTTAGTACAAAATAGCAAATGTAAATGAGGCTTCTAAAAGGGACCTCCATAATGCTGAAGATCTTCTATTCAGAAAGGCCACATTTAATTAAAATCTGTTTCACTATTACTTGTCACTATGGACCAATTATGTTACATTAATTTTAGATTAAATTCCACTGCACATCTAAGGCTATTAGGTGGATATAGTTAAAACATTTTTAAAAAGGATGGTTGTCTGAATGGATAATCACCTGACTTCAAACTAGCACAACTAACACTGCTGCCTCTATCTGCTCTACTTTTATTTTATCTGCTCACTGTCAAAGTTAGTAGGTCTATTCACAACATTTAGTACCATGGTGCTCAGACCATCCTACTCTCTCTGGTTCTGGATGAGAGTATGTTGTGCTGGACAATCTTCATCCATGAGATTGGGTAAATTCTCCATGACTTCTGCACCCTACATCAGCAGATGGCAAACTTTTTAGGCTATGGACAGGAGTGGTCCCATATGGGTCACGGGCAGGCGAGAAGTCAGGACGCAGGTGCTGCCACTGCTTCTCCCTGAGAAGGCACAGGGACAGCTTCCCCTGCTGTCACTTCTCCATGGTGGCACAGGAAAGTGACTGCTGCCAAAGCCCCCTCACCACTGCAGCCCAGCCTGTGGACAGAGGATTCAGCCCATGGGTTGTAGATTGCTAGCCCCTGTTTTATATGGTTCTTCTTCCACCAGAGTTGGGTTTTCAGGCCTATTCTTTTCAATAACCACACCCCCTGGTGGAAATGGGAAATAACTACATTTCACTGACTCCCAGCTCCAAAAAAGGAGCTATAGCAGGGGTTCCCAACGTTTGTGCCCAAGGGCACATTCAAATTTAAAAAGAAAAAGCAGCGGGCACCAACATGACAGCATTTTTTGTTGGAATAATGATTTTTACTGATCATCAAAATGCACGCAGGCACCTGAATAAACCTTGGGGGGGGTACCATGGCACCCATGGGCACCACGTTGGGAACCACTGATCTACAGGCTCCACATTTGGAACAGGATTGCTAGCCAAGAATAAAGCCAACAACAGAAAATTAGACCAACAGGTTCAGGCAGGGAGAAATGAGGAAAACAATACTTTACAAAACTTTAACTACTAGAACCCTAGGTATGGTGATTGCTGCAGAACTGACTTTAAAAACCATCAGCCATGGCGAAGACCACTTTTTATTCATTAAATCATGTCACTAGACTGCAAACCTCTCAATGAAAGCTGGAAATGAGTGGCCTTGCAGTTTTAGAACATTACAATACACAAAATGCCTGGGTAGGGCTGGGGAGTCCTTCAAGCTTTGCAGCTTCTACAGGTCAAGTTCATTATGCACACCACACCTAGAACTCTTGGCATTTCCTCTTTTCCACATGCAAGCTCTCTGGATACCTTCCTACCCACTTCCATTTAACAGCTCCCTGAAACTTCCCTATTTCTCTTGCCTGGAGATTTTCCTGTGCTCATCCTCTACACTCCCTCCCCGCTCTGCTCTCTCATGTCAGAGTCTATGTGTAGGACATCACACGCCTTTACTACCATCTCATAATTCACCCTTCAACCCATGTTAGGGGTCTTGTATATGACCCTACAAGAATCTTTGCAATTATGTACTTTTAAAACAATATACATGACTCAGTTTTCCCATGTTCCTGTGCACTACTACCCTCAACAGGCTCCCTGAGCTGGAGTGGTAGGGAACGTGACTGAATGGCACATTGCTTTCTGAATAAATAAAAACAGTTATCAAGAGCCAAATGACATCAGCACATGTGAATGGACTAAACCTTTAACAATTAGGAACTGAAAAAGCTCAGAACAAAGAGACCTAGTAGGAAGAGACTAATCTCTGAGGTTTTACTGTAGTTAGGACAGGGTTACAGTGCTCATGGCTGACAGGGGAAATAATATCCCCAAGACCTTCGGGGCAGGGCAGACATTTGGTGCAAGATCTGGCTTTGTTGCTTCCCAGTTGCCTTATAAATGCCATATTGTTGTGTTATAACTTTGTATTATGGCAACTACATATTGGTTGTATTTCAGCCTTGGAGTTAAGTGTTCCTGCCAGATTCTAAATGTGTCAAGAGTTGGGGGTAAGGCCATGGACAGAAATGTTTGAATAGCTTGCAAGTCCAGTGTCCGAGTGGACAAGCTCTTTGGCAGTCCCATGACAGCCCCCATACTCTCACTTCTGCCATACCACAGTGCCCATTTCCTACCTTTGGGGTAGCTCCTTGTTCCTCTTCTTTCTCCCCCAAGATCTGGGTTCCCTATTTTCATTGCTCTGCTGCTCTTCCATGACAGGGGATCTGCATACCTGCATAATAGTCCTTCAACCAACTGCTCATCCTGGGCACTGTGGGTCTCTCATTCCTTTCCTTTCCTTCTGTGCACCCTCCTCAGCAGAGCACCCCACTTCTTCCCCCAGGCTAGGGTTTCTGTATGTTCCATATTCCAAGAGCTATCTATCTTTCCCTCTCCCACACTAAGGTCCCTTGATTTCCCCTCCTTTCACAGCTTTTGTGCGTCCCCCTTCTCCCCACCTCTCACACCAGGCTCCCATATTCTTCCCACAATCACGCATGGGGCTTTGTGCCCCTCTGTCCACTATTTATTACTTGGAAAACATATCATTCAGGGTGTTTATTTTACTTGATTAGGACGATAAACAGAGCCAAGATAGGACTGCAATTATACTGGATCAGTGTTGTAGTAGGTGTGATATTCCAAGTGAAAAGAAAGAAACAGGATTTACTTGGCAATATTTTTATCAGACCAACTTTGGAGACAGATGTTACATGGGGTTTTGGATACAAAATACCTGAAATCAGCCAGGAATACAAACCAAGTTAAACATCAGTTAGAATAATAACTTTCACTTCTAAGTGAAAGTGATCACTTAGAAAGGGAAGTGGGCAGTAAAGCTGTGGAGCAAAAAAGTTAACAGAAGTAGTTACAGACCAATTAAAGAACATCTGATATAGATCTACTCAATTATGTAAAGAATAAGACCATTTTATATGTGCAAAAGTTGAGAGAACTAGGCTTGTTTAGCTTGCAGAGAAGGCAATTAAGTGGGGACATGACAGTGTCATAAAGAAAAGAGAGCTGTTTTTCTTTGCCAGAGAGGGCAGGACATGAGGAACTGGATTCAAATTACAGCAAAGTAGCTTTAGATTAAATCAGGAAGTATTTCTTTATGTTAGATCAGTGAGGCAGTTAAGCAGACTATGCAGAGAAGTTGTAGAACCTCCTTCATTGGAGGTTTTCATGAAAAGGCTGAACGAACATTGGATAGAGATGATTCAGGAGTACCATTCTCAAATTCTTTAAGGGAATTAAACCTGACAACCATTCTAGTGCTTTCCAAATCTATGCATCTATAAAAAGGGAAGAGGAACTATTATCATGAGTGAAGTGCAAAGAGTTACCTCTTGTTATGTTGGAATGCATTACTGGGTGCTATCTATCAGTAGTTTTGCTTACAGACAACTTCAGAAGCTATGGCAATGCTAATCAGATGGCAAGTCTCCTTTGAATCCCCTGTTTTCTCTCATTTGTTTTCTGTTTTTTAAGGTCAGTGATGCCTCAAAGCTTCCTTGAAGTGTTGAGATTGACCAGAGATGGCACTCAGAAGCTTTTTGTGTTCTGTACACAAATTACAGACAGGGCTATCAAGCTGAACAGATGTCCGTGCAAGGTTGGCCAACCATGGCTGAGTTACTGTGGTGCAATCTATTATCCATAGGCTGCTTTATTATTGGGGATGAAACAAATAGATCTGGAGCCTTCTTCACACACTGCACTCTAGGACTCAGGAACAGAATCGGTTGCATGCTAAAACATCCAGCTATATGCTAAAATAGCCATCTCAGCAACAATCTAATGACAGAAGTCTTTCATGTTTCATGAATATGTGTTCTCACAAATACCTGTCCCATCAACAGGGTTTCTATTCCAACCTGATCAATGAATTATCACAAAAAAAAAAACAGTGCTCAGCTTAGGGGCACATTTCCCACCAGCAGCAAACAATGCTCTATTTTAGTGTTTTTATTCTTACCACAGGCAATGGTCCAGTATACCAAGGAGTCTGGTGCCTGGTAGAGGATCCGGTATGGTGCCACCCTAGCACTGGAGTCCAGCACAACATCAAGAGTACCCACGAGGAGACCTGTGAAACAGGAAATTCTGTGTTGGTGAATATGCATTGAGTGCCTCCTTACCATTCATGACAGGAGTTCAGTGTGCTCCCCATAACCCTATCCAACAGTTCTCCCCATTCAGCTGTCATGGCAGGAATGATATGCTCCTTGTTTTTGTCTACATAAAGGTGACAACACTTCTGCCAAAGCTATAAGATCTACCATCAAAATAGATGGCAACTTCTAACGAACTGATGTTAGCTGAAAGACAAACAGGTTTTAAAATATAGATGCTATTTAAAAGCATATTTTAAAATTAGTTTCTAAGTCTTTTTCCAGTTCCTCAATCTTTAGGAATTTCTTTAAGATACACTGATTATTCACTAGATGAACTCAATTTCTAATTTCAGGTAGGAGAAGAATAAACCCAAAGATATTTAAAACTAGATTCCTATGACATTTTCTGGAATCTGTGTTGAAAAGCATGGTCTTCTCTACCCTACCAGCTAATTTTCAATGAAAAGGGTATCAGTGGAAAGTAAATTTTCCCTAAAAATAAATATAAGCTTACTTAGACTGTTGAAGGGGCATCAAGAGTGCCTTCAAGCTGTTCTGTATCGAGCTCTAGTGGGTGTTTTCCTGCCCCTAACAACAATAAAAATTGATGGAATTTCAGAGAGTAATCTGCAAAATTGTTAAAAATCCCACAAATGGGAACAATTTATATATATTTTAATTCTTTTCATTAAATAGAAAGAGACAGACCACATGGAAAATTCCCTCATTTGCTACCTATAATTTTCTCTATAGTATTAGTATTATTATTGAAGATAAGAAAACTGAGGAGGGGAGGGCAGGAAGAAAGAGTATTTCAGAGAAGCATGCTGTGAGATTTTGCACTGTAGTTCAAGAAAGCTGATAATTCTTTTATCAAAAGCATCCTTTCCCCAAGTATTAATTTGACAAAGGGTGAACACATCATAGCTTTTGTAAACTACTAATTACATGCAACAAAACTGAGAAAGTTTTTTAAAAACAAATATTCCAACAAAAATCCCCTTTCCCTGCTCATTTGCAGCCTTTGTTCTGTTAGTTCTTTATTTTGCAGAATCTTTCAGAGGAAATTAAACTAGAATTTTTATTATGAATATCAAGACAAATCTTTTCTTCACCTTTCCTCTTTCTGGTATAAAACACTC